ATTAATTTAGCATATAAAACATCTTTCTAACACATTAGATCTAAAATTGAAACTTTATAAATTATTTTAATATGTTAAACATATTTTAAAGTTTTAGTTATTTAAATTTTACTTATTATTATTTTATTTTAAAATTTTCTATAGGATACATACACTGTACAAAGAGAGAGAGAAAAAAAGATGGAGAGAGAGAAAGGAAGCTACCAAGTTCGTGACTTGAACCATGGTCAACCATGTGGGAGTCCAGTGCCTTAAGTAGAGAAGAATGGCCACTGTCTGCCAGCCCCAGTATGTTAAACATTTTAACTTTAAAATTTTCCACTCTTGCTTCTAGTAGGGTAGTTACCCACCCTTGAAAGTTTTAGAAAATGTTATCAGATTTAGAATTAGGTCATTACTTTCTAGAACCCTTGCTTCACAAACCACATATGGAGTGTTCCATGAATTGGTGTATCATCTTTTGTAAGGGCCCAGCTAGTCTTTTAAGTCATTTCAGTGTATCCACTGCCAAAGCAAATGTAATTGTCAAATCAATTTTGGTTCTTCTTAGTCTTATCGACTTTTAGATCTTAATTTTAATATGATGCATGTAATTTGATAGACAATATTATACATATTAATATTGACATAATTGTCATTTATATTAATATTGTTATAATAATTCTTAAGCCACCCAGTCTATAGTATTTTGAAACAGCATCCCAAACTGACTAAGGCAGACTTTGGCATTGAGGAGTGGAGACCACTAGAACAAGTACCTAAAAAGTAAAAGTGATGGGTAAAGGGTAATGAGGAGAAACTGAAAGTTTCAAAATACTTGATAGAAAATGTCAGTGCTGCCATGAAAGGAATGTTAAAAGTGATTCTAATGTGAGGTCCTAAAAAAGGCAGGGAACTGTGGAGAATGCTCATTTCTTTTTAGAGAATACATAATCACATACAGAATGTTGGTAGAGACGTGGCATTTAAGGCCATTCTAAAGAGGTCTCAGATAGAAATCGGGAACATGTTATTAGACAACGAAATAAAGGCAATCTTTGATATATGTAATAGAAGGCTGTTGGATTTCTTAGATTCTGCAGGACACAGCTCTAAAGCTGTCTGTCCATCAGTGCATTTGCAGTACTCTTCTACAAAACAATAGCTTAGAGGTGACTTCCAAATCATCAGGTCCACCAGAAAGCCCCAATTCAAAGTAGTGGGGTTGGGAATCACACAAAGCTGAGTAGGTGTGATTTGTGCCTGGTACGTAATTATCATTTCTAGCAATACTAACATATACGTTATTGATATATATTTTTCTGATGTTCATGACCGAATTTTTCACCTTTTTATATAAAATATCAACTTAAGAATTAAGGCTTGCCTTATAACTATTAAATATTATAAAACACTATGTATAACTCCCAACAGGCACAGATAATCCAGTTGAATAAAAACTTGGCCATAATGAGGGCCAGCCAGTGGCAAGGTAGTTGAGGTTGTTGGATTTCACATGGAACTACCCAATTGGAGGCCCTGACCCGGCATCTATCTTTTTTTTTTTGGAGAGGTTTTTGCTACAGGGCACGTGTGCTCACAAGACAGACAGAGAGAGAGACAGAGACAGAAAGCGAGAAATCACCCCCCAGTGGGGATGGCCACTCCACAATCCCTTCTCCTCCATTCTCCTCTCGGGATCTTGGGCACATATGCACATGAGCCCAGCGTGAGTTTAAGCCGCCGGGTCTGGAAACCGTGGTCGACTACATGGGAGTCCAGCGACATAGCCATTATGCTAACTGCTGGTCCCCTGGCATCTTAAAAAAGACATTGGGCACATATGTGTGGGTGCCAAAATCCCAAAAAGAGACATAAAGGAGAAGGAATTGAGGTATTGCCATTCACACTGGGTGGTGCTTTCTCTTTCTCTCTCTCTCTCTCTCTCTGTCTCTCTCTCTCTCTCTTTCTGTCTTTCCAGAGAGCACATACACCTTAGAGCAAAAACATTTTAAAAATTCTATAATAAAACCATCTTGATTCTAGTCCCATCTTTATCATTAATTATCTGTGTAATCTTCAGCTGAGCTTTGTCATTCTTTCTGCCTTGAGATTTTCATGAAGATAATAATACTTCATCTACATACTCCCTACGGAGTATGTAGGGAACCAAATAACTGGTAATGTTCTTTGAAAATGTGGTGAATGATAAAGTAGAAACTCTGGTGTTGCTGGTATAATTTTAGTAGTTAATTTTTGATTATTTGAGTAATGACAGGCAAACTTCAATATAGCTGCTTCTCTGTTGGATATGATATTAACTTTGTTGTGTGTGAGAGTGTTTTGCTCTCTCAATATTTTAGAATTTATTTTACATCTTAAAACTATTTAGAGCAGAAAATATTTAAAATCATTTTTATATAAAAATTACATTCTAAAATAATGTTTTAGCTTTAGCCTCAGGGAAACATATAATTATTTGTCTCTCACCTGCTAATGTCACTTAAGAAGTAAAGAATGAGTGTGAGTATGATTTTACATTAATCATAAAAACATCACCTTGACATTTAAAGGAAAAAAAAACATTTTATTAAATTGAAAATGAGCACTTAAGATACTGAAATGTCTCCTTGATGAAAAAAGAAAATTATCTTTGTTCATCTTTTAAAACTTTCCTTTTCATAGTAAGTGTCAACACTTCCTATATAGATTTGGGGTGAACTAGGAATTCTGCAAATTATTATTGTGTTTTGATGTAAACCTCAGCCATTTTTTTTATCTTCAGAGAGAAAAGTAGGACATAATTTTCAAAATGTCTACTTTGAGAACAAGGAAATTATACTCGAGAAAAAAAAGTAGATAAACTAACCATTTTTAAGTTGTTAATTCATTTTAATGGTATTATTAATTGTGGGGGTGACTAAAAAAATAGATACATTTGTCATTTTCACGAAGTATTTCAAAATGTGTGGGCCATACAGGAGGTTCAGGTAAGAGGAAGACATTGAAGGGAAGACAGGCATTGAAAGAGGTGTGGAGATCCATATGCATGACTATAGAATAATTATCTCATTTTTCAAGTGCATGTTGGTCGACTACATGGGAGTCCAGCGACATAGCCATTATGCTAACTGCTGGTCCCCTGGCATCTTAAAAAAGACATTGGGCACATATGTGTGGGTGCCAAAATCCCAAAAAGAGACATAAAGGAGAAGGAATTGAGGTATTGCCATTCACACTGGGTGGTGCTTTCTCTTTCTCTCTCTCTCTCTCTCTCTGTCTCTCTCTCTCTCTCTTTCTGTCTTTCCAGAGAGCACATACACCTTAGAGCAAAAACATTTTAAAAATTCTATAATAAAACCATCTTGATTCTAGTCCCATCTTTATCATTAATTATCTGTGTAATCTTCAGCTGAGCTTTGTCATTCTTTCTGCCTTGAGATTTTCATGAAGATAATAATACTTCATCTACATACTCCCTACGGAGTATGTAGGGAACCAAATAACTGGTAATGTTCTTTGAAAATGTGGTGAATGATAAAGTAGAAACTCTGGTGTTGCTGGTATAATTTTAGTAGTTAATTTTTGATTATTTGAGTAATGACAGGCAAACTTCAATATAGCTGCTTCTCTGTTGGATATGATATTAACTTTGTTGTGTGTGAGAGTGTTTTGCTCTCTCAATATTTTAGAATTTATTTTACATCTTAAAACTATTTAGAGCAGAAAATATTTAAAATCATTTTTATATAAAAATTACATTCTAAAATAATGTTTTAGCTTTAGCCTCAGGGAAACATATAATTATTTGTCTCTCACCTGCTAATGTCACTTAAGAAGTAAAGAATGAGTGTGAGTATGATTTTACATTAATCATAAAAACATCACCTTGACATTTAAAGGAAAAAAAAACATTTTATTAAATTGAAAATGAGCACTTAAGATACTGAAATGTCTCCTTGATGAAAAAAGAAAATTATCTTTGTTCATCTTTTAAAACTTTCCTTTTCATAGTAAGTGTCAACACTTCCTATATAGATTTGGGGTGAACTAGGAATTCTGCAAATTATTATTGTGTTTTGATGTAAACCTCAGCCATTTTTTTTATCTTCAGAGAGAAAAGTAGGACATAATTTTCAAAATGTCTACTTTGAGAACAAGGAAATTATACTCGAGAAAAAAAAGTAGATAAACTAACCATTTTTAAGTTGTTAATTCATTTTAATGGTATTATTAATTGTGGGGGTGACTAAAAAAATAGATACATTTGTCATTTTCACGAAGTATTTCAAAATGTGTGGGCCATACAGGAGGTTCAGGTAAGAGGAAGACATTGAAGGGAAGACAGGCATTGAAAGAGGTGTGGAGATCCATATGCATGACTATAGAATAATTATCTCATTTTTCAAGTGCATGTTGATACACACACACACACACACACACACACACACGGCCATATCACTACTGTGGCAGTAACATAGTACTCCAGTGATGCCAAATCCACATGGAAGATCATGGGTACAGATTCTGGGTCTACCTGTACCATGATCCTGGCTGACTGCAAAGGAGTTGGGGTAGTATGGAGGATCACAGGGTGAGACCCTGTTGAGGGTGCATGTCTTTCTCTGTCATGAAAGAAACTTTAAAATTTATATACACACACACACACACACACACACACATATGTATATGTGTACATATATATATATATATATATATATAAATTTACACTTTACATATCTTTGTAAAACACAAATTAAATACTTGCCATTATCAATTGTCTTTACCTGTAGGTACTAAAATCACAACTATTATTAGCTGAATGCCTACTTTTTTTTTTCTTTAAAGAATTATTAATTTAATTATATTTATGTGTTATTTTCTTTTTAATTTGCTATAGGCACATGCGTTCAACAGAGAAAGAGAGAGGGCAAGGGAGAAAGCTGGCCATCAGATCCAGGATTCAATCAGTATGCTACCTGCTGGCCCCAACTTTTCTTTTTTTATGTTTAGACACTCTAGTGCTTACTCCAGCAGCACATATACTAAAAGTGCTGGAACAATACAGAGGCGATGAGAATGGCTCCTGAGCAAGGATGACATGCAAATTTGAGAAGTGTTCCATATTTTGCTGTTTGTCTCTACCTAAGCCAGGTCCTTTCAGTTTAAATACTCTAAAACTAAAGCCAGACTTGAGATTACAATTCTGGGGAAAGGAACTGTTGTTCTGAATTTGCAAGCAAACTATAGTCATATAAATTAGCATTCCTAGGGCATATTAGGAAGTTTATTCCCTTCAATCTCCAAATCGGTGTTCTATATGTTTAGTTTAATAAAGGATAATTACTTACACTTTCAATATGTTCACAAATACATAAAACATGTAAGCAGAAATGTAAAATGTATCCATAGAAAAAGGGAGAAAATATAAAAATATCACTTATGTTTTGGATGATGAAACAGGGTTCTTTTTCCATCCCTTTGAGTTTCTAATGATTGATGCAAACGATATATATTACCCCTATCATGAAAAAGAAAATTTTATTTTAAAGGAGACACAGCTTAGTAGTTTTTAATTGTTATTAGATTACAGGACATATGTTAGTACAATATATTACTACAATTAATATTCACACAATTAGGTTTTCCTGAAACTGAAAAAGATCAAGACTGGAAAAAATTTTCAATATTTATTTATTTAACAATATTTATTGAATAATAGAAATCCATTTGCTATTATTCTGAATTATTTGTGACAAAGTCAAGGGTAAAACAATTGTGGTGCATTGTTTGTAGTATTAGTATTTAAAGTCTAAAATGATTATGGAATACATAATAAAAACCTGAAGATAAAATCTAAAAGTAAAAGAAACACTGGGCTGTAATAAATATGGTAAAGATTTGATATCCTCAATGTAGGAAAGTTTATAAATATTGATAACAAAAACACGAGTCTTAAAAACTACCAGAGTTAGGAATAGACAAAACTGTAAGTAATGAATACAAAAAATATGTTAGTGTTCAATCTCATTTTACACAAATATAGTAAACCACAGTTCCCTCCTTTTCAAACTCATTGGTCAAAATGAGATTTGTTAGTTAGGGTTCAGTATGGCTTCCTCACACAAGCTTTCTGACTTCAATTGAACATATGTTTTTAATATTAAAATGTTAACTATAGGAATAGCAGGTAGCATGGTGGTTAAGGCACTGGATCCCATATAACCTGGAGGCTTGAAAAACACACCAGGCAAGCACACATGAGTATCCAAAATCCTGAGAGGAACGTGAAGGAGAAGAGATTGCAGCATAGCCATCCCCTCGGAGGATGTTTTCTCAATTTCTCTTTCTCTCTCTCTTTCTCTCTGGTACACATACATATCCCATAGCAAAAAGAAAAAAAAAGTTAACAATAGTATAAGCAAATCATTTTTAAAAATGACCAAGTACAAAAGTAGTCAGAAATTCAATCTTTTCACACAAAGGAATTTAGTAAATAATTATTTATACATATATGACAATGGTAAAGTTATAAATATATATATATATATATTTCATATAGTTTCATTTAC